TGTATTACTATAATTATATTTATTTATATTATTATAATTATATTTATATTGTTTATTTATATACTTTATTTATAATATAATAATAATTCTATTATTTATTATTTATTTATTTGTTTATTTTGTTAGTTATTTTAGTTATATTAAAATTATAATAATACAGTTTGATATTATATATTAAATATTATTAGCATTAATTTGATAAATATTAAATGAAAACAATTATAATAGTATAACAACTGTAAAATTTCAATACAAAGATTTATTCTAATTTAATTTAATTTATTATAATTTGAATGTAACTTTTATATAAAATTAGATAAATATAAAAACCCATTAATTCATTCATTTTCCCTGAGTTCAGTCCCTTATTTATCAGGGGTCGCCACAACGGAATGAACCTTCCATAAATTAAAAAACTGTAATGTTTAAATATAACACTAAGCCAGATCATAATTATTGTTTTATTTTTTGTTGAAGAAAGAGAAGATTCATGTGTCTTCTGTTTATTTGCAGAATATGACCGACACCTAGCGTACGGTAAAGGCATGGCGACGGCATTCCTGGAGCCCACCCCGAACCACACGCTAAGCGTCGGGGCCAAAGCCCGACTCAGTGCGGGGACAGAGCGGGTTCCGGGGGCCCCCGACCGGGTCCTGAAGGTCTTCCATCACTTCGAAAACAACAGCGAGCACAGCACCTGGTCCAGCAACATCCGGCACGGAGACGCCACTGACGTCAGGGTGAGCACAACAACACACAGTTACTATTATTGTTATTATTCAGCATTATTTTACATTATCACTGTTTATACTATAATGCTTGGCTGATTGACTGATGAGGGGTCTAAGGTTTGCCGATATGTTCAGAGAAACGCTCAGCTAAAGTAGTTCCGGCAGGTTTTGAGCACATTACATCTCCATGTCACTTCACTGAATGATTTGAGTTGTTTTACTGTCAATCACATGAAACACAACTGAAAGCTTTCGAGGAGATGTGAAAGAAACTAGATCTACACACAGGAGACGTTCAAGGATGAAAATGTTTTATTTGATCAAATATTTGATCAAAGTATGTGTTTTTAGGTTTTATATAGTACATAGGATTTCATCAGTATAAATAGTTTATGCTGCATGTTGTTATATAAATACCTGGAAGATGGCAGACAGACAGACAGACAGATAGATAGATAGATAGATAGATAGATAGATAGATAGATAGATAGATAGATAGATAGATAGATAGATAGATAGATGGATGGATGGATAGATGGGTAAATAGATAAACAGATGGATGGATGGATAACCTAAAATAAATAAATACAACTTACCAAATAATTAAATATATTATAAATGTTTATGAACGTATGCATTTAAAAAGGCAATTGTATTTTTGTATAAATAATATATATTTATGTATAATTGTTGTTTTTTATTTAAAAAAGATATAAAATAATTTTATAAAACATAATATAAATGTTTTTACAAATAAAATAACAAATGAATGTGAATAATAATAAAAATAAATAAATAAATAAATAAGAATAAATAAATACACACAACAAACCAAAACTGTATTAATTCTTAATTATATATTATAAATGTTTAAAAATGTATACATTTAAAAAAAATAAACTATTTTATTTCTTTGCGTGTGTGTATGTGTATATTTTGTAAATATGTAAATAATTTTAATAAATAATTCGCATATTTAATAAATCTAAAAAATAAATGTGAATATTTAGTAAATCATACATTTAAATTTGTAATGTATTATTGTTATTATTATTATTACTATATAGTAGAATATAAATATATAATATATTATAATAAATATTATATAATATTATAAATATAATGTAATATTTATAATATATTAATATAATTTTAGAATATATTATTATAATTTTGCAGCTGTAAAAAAAGTCTACAACCAGACAGTGTATTAAAATTAATTATTTAGTTTAATTTGCGGGTCTGAGCAGGTCTGATGGTTGTTTTTACTTTAGTTTAAGTTTAATGTGGTAAAAAAGTGTGTGTGTGTGTGTGTGTGTGTGTGTTTTTTTACACCATATGGATTTGGTGTCAAACAAATGAAGCTTCATAGTATGCAAATATCAGGCTTTCTTCTCTGTAATGTGTGGATTATTGTGCTTGTGTGGAAATCTCCAAAAGCTCAGGTTTCAGCTGAAGTCTTGATTTCCCCCGTGGGATTGATCTGATGAGAGACTCGGAGGTGAAAGAGTCTCAGTTAGAGATGCTGTATTGATCTGCGTTTGTTTTAAGCGGATTGATGCTCAAACATCCGCAGGAAGGATAAACTCCTCCTCATGATTGGATGGTCTCTGGTGACCTCTCATGTTTGACCTCTGAGGCTTTATATCCGACCCGTTCCGTCTGGACACACACTGCCTTAATATATGATCATGTCAAGCCAAAAAGAGCAAGCTTTAGTCTGATTGTTCTCGATCATTTATGTTAAGCCAAGAAGATACAGATAAAAACAGTGGTCAGTTTTTAAAACCATGTTTTCTTTAGGCTATTGTACAAAAACATGTGTTTATTACACTTACACTCACCGGCCACTTTATTAGGTACACTTTACTAGTACCGGGTTGGACCCGTTTTGCCTTCAGCGTTGCCATAATCCTTTGTGGCAGAGATTCAACAAGGTACTGGAAATTATTTTACTCCTTATTTACATGATAGCGTCAGATATGCTGCAGATTTGTCGGCTGCACATCCATGACGCCAATCTCCCGTTCCACATCCCAAAGGTGCTCTATTGAATTGAGATCTGGTGACTGTGGAGGCCATTTGAGTACAGTGAACTCATTGCCATGTTCAAGAAACCAGTCTGAGATGATTGGGCTTTATGACATGGTGCGTTATCCTGTGGCACCCGGTGTGGTCTTCTGCTGCTGTAGCCCATCTGCCTCAAGGTTGGATGTTCAGAGATGCTCTTCTGCAGATCTCGGTTGTAGCGAGTGCTTATTTGAGTTACTGTTGCCTTTTGATCAGCTGGAACCAGTCTGGCCATTCTCCTCTGACCTCTTGCATCAGGTGTATATTTTGCTGAGTGTGTTTGTTTGCTGTTTTGCCTGGTTTATGCTTGTCATTGGGAAATAAAACTAGCATTAATCCCGGTCTTATTTACCCTCTGGTGTTCCTTATTCGTAAATTATCATTGTCAAAAAGGGGCAAATGTTTGTAAAGTACCCTCTGTTTTGTTTAGGAACATCAATCAAATTTATTTTTATTTAATAATATTTTTTACTGTCTTATTTTGAATTTTAAGAGGGTTTTGTGGTAATAGTTAATATTTATGCAGTAATTAACGTTCATTTTCCCCTCTATTATTTCAGTTTTAATTTCTTGCAGTGTTATTGCAGTCACTGTAGTAGTATTTTCTGATTTATGCTGTGATAAAAATAGATTGAAAATAGAATAAAACTCCAATATCCAGTGTTCAGATTTTCTTCTAGATATGTTTGCACATCACTGCATATCTATTTGAAGAATGTGACTGATTTGCATATTTAAATAGCATTTTAGAGAACAGTTGTCTCATATTGTGATGAATCTAGTCGTGTATTTGAGACTTTATTTGTCAGGTTTTTGTCCTCAGATGTCTCCTATCTGTAGCACTAGTTTCTTCCCCATCTCCTCCAAAGATTTTTGACTGTGAAATGTAGCTGTAATGCGCTCAAAACCTGCCGAAACCACTTTAACTGTGCTTATCTGAAAATACAGGCACGCCTTAGAATGCTCATCAGCCAATCAGAATCAAGCATTCAGCCTCCCCTGCAGTATAATGCAAAGTATAAGTGTTTTTCTTCTGATCGAGCAAAACTGTTGCAAACAATTTATTTGTGTTGAATTTAAACAAATAAAATACATTTAATAATGTTCAACTTAATTTCAGCCCAAATAAGTTGTTTACAACCACTTAACGTCAAAAAAATTGAGTAAATCCAAGGAATCATCTTTGAATAATTTTTTTTCAGTGTGGCTGAAGTCCAACAAGTCAGATATTAATGCGGCTGAATTTCTGCTTTTCTAATGCTGCATGAGGTCTTACAGGCTCTGGGTCAATCGTGTCTCTGATCATTTTAAGCTTCACCAGCGTGGATGTTCAGATTTCCAGCAGCAGGGATTTTATTTCTCCTGAGCTTCATACAGACCGACACAGATTAACATGACAAATCTTCTTCTGTGTCACAGCCGTCCAGGAGAAGATGGACAAACTAGTGTAAATCACTAGATTATATTGAGCAAACAAGTTGTTTCTGTGGAAAATATTAGTTTTATAAATGGAGAAGACGTTTTTTAGTTTATATATAGAGCTGAAGTCAAAATGCTTTGCCTTTTTGGCATAATATAATTATTGATTAATAATGATTATTATTAAATATATATATATATATATATATATATATATATATATATATATATATATATATATATATATATATATATATATATATATATATATATATATATATATATATATATATATATATATATATATATATATATATATATATATATATATATATATATATATATATATATATATATATATATATATATATATATATATATATATATATATATATATATATATATATATATATATATATATATATATATATATATATATATATATATATATATATATATATATATATAT